TTGCTCAATTTTATCAGCATTAAAATATATTTCTAAAATACATTGGTCATCTTTCAATTTTAATAAAAATAAATGCTGTGCATCCCGATATCGTGTAATAAAGGAAGAAGTAAAACCCTCTCCAACTCCATAATACCCATCTTTGGATGAATAGCCAAGACCCGAAATTACAACTGAGAATTTTTCAATCTGAAGAAATATCGGAAAAAATTCTATTTTGTCAAGTAATTGCTGGATAATTTTTTCATTCTCAAAACCAATAACTGCTATACCGGAATACTCAGTTTTAGTTTCAAAAACTTCCTTATAATATGAATTTAAGGCTGTCGAAGGGTAAGATTCTATTTTTGAACTTATGTTCTCACAAGTACATTGAAAACTGGGTTTGTATTATTTTTCATTATTTTGAAGAACTGTAATTATAAAGTCTTTACCATTAAGGTTGCAACTAATACACATATATAAGCGAAATGGTACGGTAAAAACAATGTTTTTGTCTTTTAAATTTAATGAAACAGGTTCCCACCAATTTCGTGCAAAAATACCATAATGTAATGTTGGGGAAATAAGCCCAATTCCTAGAAGTTTTGAAGTAAAATGGCGTTTTTTAGACATTTGGTTAGCGAAATTTGTAAACAACTTCACATTCAGAAACGCAATTTTTAATTAATAAATTTCCATCGAATTTTATTATTGGTTTTATCACGTGACTTGCGGATTGCCAATTAATATAATACTTTTATTATAAGAAAAATACATTTATAAATAATAAAACTTCTGATTGTTACAAATTTATTAAATTTAATTATTTACTATATTTGATAAGAAAAAAGTCCACTCCTATTAAAGAAAGAGTAAAAACCTGAAAAAACATCTCCAAAAGAGTTCTGATTTGTAGACTTACCTTAACCAATAGCAAAAAATTCCATTTCTATTAAAAAAAATTTAGTAAAAATTCTGAAAAACAATCACCTGATTTGTAAATAACATTTGATAAAAAGCATGTTCACATATAACATTTAAATTATTAATTATAATAATGATATATATAGGCAATTTTTTTCTTTTTTGAACTGGACAACTGCACAATGACCGTTAAAATTTGGTATAAAGTCGAAGAGTTGGAGGAGGCTTCTATAAATTTCGAACAGAATAAGACTGTAAACAATCTCAAAAGAGCTATTATAAAAAATGAGCCTATACTTAATGGTCTCTCGTCGTCCAAAATAACTTTGAAAATAACAAAAGAAGGTGATAACAAAATTTATATAGTATCTCCAAGATGGGTAATTCAGAAGGTTTTGCAAGAGATTGGAAATAACTTTTTATGCTTAATTCACAAGAAGGGTAAATATTTTTCCTTTTTAAGTATTCCTTACTCTGCTTTCTGTTTTTTCCTATTTTACACTATATGATATATTTTCGATTAACTTGTATTTTTTCTCGGTCATTAACAGAAGGTATGTAGTATTTTTTGCTAATACCTTCGAATATTCTAAACTTTCACTGCTTTCTTTCTATAACAATTATAACGATTAGAGCTTGTGTTCGATAGAAAGAGGAAGGTCACAGAAGAAGGTAAGAATATGTATTAAAAACTATTATTGCTCAGCATTTTCCATCATTTCTTACAAATTCTGCTCTACGCTTATAGTCCAAGACGTTAGCACTCGAGTTCTTGATACTTTAAAGAAAATACCTAGAATGACGCTACCTGCAGTCAATGAACTTACTAACTTCCTTGAACAGCCTCTTTCAATCTATATGAAGATACCTATTCTCCAACATGAATTTAATAGTCTTGTTATTAATGAACCCGAAAATCCATGCACACAAGAAGATCTTGAAATATTATTTCAGGTCAACGACATCGAGAGTAGCTACTACATCACCACTAAACTATTTAGCGTAGCTATCCTAGGAAATCCACCTTCGCATGAGGGAACTGAATATTCTTTCGTCTCATTTTGGGATATCAATATCAGATTTCCTCTGGAACACCTTATTCCTGATGGTATTTCTATCCAGAATTCTTCTCATAAAATAAGCACCTTTAGCAAATGTCCAAATTTTGGTTTTATCCTCAATCATGTATGTCCATTTAAGGGGGAGGAAAAATCAATCCTCAATAATGAAGATCTGAAATCCAAATTCAGTAACAAACTTTATTAGATTTATGATCCAGTTTCGTATATTTTAGATAAGATCTGTGCCTATTTCAAAATAAATACATTCTAAACGATATTTTTGCTATCACAGGCTACTACGCCAATGGGCCAGATGTGACATTCGTTGCCATTTGCAGGCCTTTGCCTACTAATGATAGTCCTGAGGTTGCTATCATTGTGAATTCAAACCTAAATATGAGGAGGAATCAAATATTTAATCTGCGACGAATGATTAATCTAAGTATTCTAATCAAGTCACTTCAAGATGTGATCGGATGGCATGAAACACCTGAGTTTCGTCCAATTGTTAGGTTAGTTAAGGGAACTTTTCACTGATGTATTTTATATTCTGATGTTCTTTTGTCCAATCAAATTGCAGAGAACGTCAGACCATCGAGGTGTGCGCCACGAACATTAAAAAAACTTTACAATTCCTGAGGAATTCGATAGGCGTGTTGAAAAACTCAAGAATGTTTACAATATACTTACAAAGAAAAAAGTACCAAATGTTGATCTACTTCTTCATGCTAATAATGGGTCAGATGAGGTATATCTGGGGCTAAAAGGAATGAGTGTAAGGCCAAATAATCAGAAGGAACTACTTGAAGCTGTAGTCTGTGTGCTCGAGGCTTTGGTGGTAAGTATCTTGGTAATTGTCAAATGGGTGCTTTCCAGACACATCTCATCCGTAATGTTCAACATAGGTGTTGCATGGTGGCAACGAACCAATTTTTCATCAAGATATCCAGTGGCCCAACATTATTAAATTGCCTGGTGAACTATTGAAATGGATCCTTATTGATTGGGACGATACTGATAGACCTCTAACTCGACCAGCAAACCACCTTGGAAGAGACAATCACACGCCAGAAGTGTTTGAGGAAGATCACGGTGGAGAAGTTGATATATGGAGCATAGGAAGACTAATAATCGAAGTAAACAAATGGATCATGGGCCTTTCACAAAGTATTGTTGATATTGGGGTAACAATACAAAGTAATAATAGACCAAATGCTCATGATGCCTTGGAATTTGTAAGGTTTTTGACTCAATAAATAGCAAAAATCGCAAAAATATTTTATAGAGCGTAAAATAAATGTTTTATATTTCAGGCTGTTGTAATAGTTCATGCTATTTTAATAAAGCATAAATAAATCCAATAATAAAATAACTTATTATAGATTGTAAGAATATAAGGATTAAATAATATCACGAAGAATAAGATTATTAAATAATATCACATTTATTCACATATATTATTTTTATCAGATGTAAAGTACAACTCAAATTCTTACTTTATATTTATGAAATGTCTAGGAGATACGAAGCTGAACAACATTTTGATTACATTCGAGACCAAATCCATCTACAGTATTTGTCATATGGATATTTTGGCCAAGTTCTATAATGCCGGCCAAAAAATCGGCACTAAAGTTTATTTATAACTAAACAATAACTAAATCAGCATAATGGACATTCAATTTTCTGGCGATATTATTGGTTGAAATTTGTGATAATCATTTTTCATTTTGTCTCATATCACTAATTAATAAAATATTAAGTTTTGATCGACATGCAGTCACATGCTAATAAAAATAGTGATAAAATCGGATAATACAGACAATGCATAATGACAATCTTATATTTAAGCCAATTATCGAAGATATAGCATTAGTGTATGATTTTCAAACCTATACATGATTGCGGAAGGCAGTGATGTCCATTTCCTATGTCCCAAGCATTTGCTGTCCCAGCTATATGTCCTAACTATATGTCCCAACTATGTCTCATATATGTCCCAAATGTTCCATCTGTCTCATCAATGTCCCATCAATGTCCCATCAGTGTCCTAACTATGTCCTATGACAACACTGGCAGAAGGCGCATACTATATAGTAAGATCATATGCAGAAATTGTGATGGGTAGTGCACAATTATCGTACAGCGATACATGTATAATTTTTCAATTGTGCGCAAAAAAAATTTTTATAAACCATTTTTATAAAACTCATTTTTATTGAATAT